GTAGTTAATTCAAAACCGAAATATTTGATCAATCTCTTATCGATTAGATTTTTTTTTTTTTTTGTTCTTGTCTGAAATTTCCAAATTTATGTCTGAAATCTATTTTTCGAATTTGCAGGAGGAGGAGGAAAAAAACAATGAGCATAGTTAGTAGAAACGGTAATGAGAGATTAAGAACAGTGTGGACTCCTGAAATGGATCAGTATTTCATCGAGCTTATGTTGGAACAAGTGAAGAAAGGGAATAGATTTGAAGATCATTTGTTTAGCAAACGTGCTTGGAAGTTTATGTCTGCTTCCTTCACTTCGAGATTCAAGTTTCTTTATGGTAAAGATGTTTTGAAAAACAGGCATAAGACATTGAGGAACTTGTTTAAATCTATCAAGAATCTTTTGAACGAAGATGGTTTTTGTTGGGATGAAACTAGACAAATGGTGGTTGCTGATAATAGCGTTTGGGATGCGTATCTCAAGATCCATCCTAATTCAAGAACTTTTCGAATAAAGTCGATACCTTATTACAAAGATCTGTGTTTGATTTACACTGAGCAAAAAGGTACAATCTTCAAGTCTTTATTCAATCTTGAATAGTGTCTGAGTTTGGATTCTTAAAGTCTATGATTTGTATGTGTTTCAGATCAGGATAATATTAACGAGGGAGAAACCAAGACTCTGGCTCAGGAAGATGATAACAGAATTTGTGAATCAACAACAATCATGTGTAACTCAAAAGGAAGTAGCGTCGTTACACGGTGCAGGACTACTTGGCATCCTCCGATGGACCGGTATTTCATTGATTTGATGTTGGACCAAGCGAGAAGAGGAAACCAGATTGAAGGTGTTTTCCGGAAACAAGCATGGACTGAGATGGTTAATCTGTTCAATGCGAAATTCGAGTCTAATTTTGACGTTGATGTGTTGAAGAACCGGTATAAGACTCTGAGAAGACAATTTAGCGCTATTAAGAGTCTTCTTCGATCAGATGGGTTTGCTTGGGATGATGAGCGTCAAATGGTTACTGCTGATGATAATGTCTGGCAAGACCATATAAAGGTAATTAGATTGCTCTGTTCCTAAGCTTGAAGTGTTTTGGTCTCTTTTAGTCGTAAGTTTGTTCTTGTCTGAAACAATTACAGGCTCATAGAGATGCAAGGCAATTCATGACTCGACCAATTCCATACTATAAAGATTTGTGTGTGCTTTGTGGCGATGCTGAGATTGAGGAAAATGATTGCTATGTAGCTATGGACTGGTTTGATCCCGAAACCGAATTCCAGGAGTTCAAGTCCAGTGGAACAACAGATTTGTCTATTTCAGCTGAGGAAGAAGATAGCAACTCTCTTTTGTTCGACCCCAAGAACAAAAGAGATCAACAACTTAGTAATACTGATACAAGCCCTATAAACCCGAAGAAGCCGCGAGTTGATGAAACCAAAACCGTAGCGATAGAGGACGCGGTTGAGGCTATTCAAGCGCTACCAGATATGGACGAGGAGCTTATATTAGATGCTTGTGATCTGCTTGAAGATGAACTCAAGGCGAAAACGTTTTTGGCTCTAGATGTGAAACTACGCAAGAAGTGGCTGTTAAGGAAACTCCGACCTCAAGTAACATAACGATTATGAGCTGTAAACAACGTAGAAGTTTGAAAGATAAACAGAAGCTCAATGGCTTATATTATAGACTACTCTAGTGTACTTTGCCAGAGTTTCATATATAAATTACTTGACTACGAGGAATAGAGATTCAAACAATGTTACGCAGCTTTTCTTATTGTTACTCAGAAGTTGTCGATATGATCGAATATGGCTGATGATATTAAACCTTGTACAAACTCTCTCTTCTTTGCCTTCTCTAACAGCTCAGTATCTGACAAGGGAGACAGTGATTTCCCGTCTCTGCGCACACGCGAAAAGCAAAAAATGTATTTTAAGACAAGGTTTGAGAAGGTGAAACAAGGCACGCAGAATCGAGAAAATGTGAAAAAAAGTTGCTTACTTTTCTGTTGGATCCCTAATAGAGCTCTTCTCTCCGATGCTTGTGGATAAATCAGGCAGTAAAAGCTTGTGCTCGTTTGGTGACGGTGGATTGTAGATAAATGATAATAATGAGTCAGGAACACTTTTAGATGTATGGTTTCTGGATAGTGGCTCATCGATTAGAGATTGTAAGTACTTCTTTGTTCCTGGAGACAATGATGAATATGACTCATCCTTGTAAAGTCTTTGCTTTTGTTCACGGTAAGTTTTCGTCAAGGAGAAACAAATGCTAATAAGTCGATGTAACGTTGAAAAAGCTTAAAATCAAAAAGTCATGTTTCTCTACTGAAAGATTAAAAAACCGGTAAGAATAAATTAAAAAAGGATATCTTCAGAACATCTCTATGCTGCGTAGTTATGTGATCAACCATATGCATCTTCACTCGTCTGCTACACACCGGGCATATCTACATCACAACCAAAGACTAATTTCATTTACGAGAATCCTCAACCGGACTAAGACTCTAAAAGGTGCATTCTTTTCAAGCTCAAAACGTATCAAAAGGACGAAGATCGAGGCCACAATGATTCTCATTCCAAACTACTCACAACTGCAAAATCGCTCCTCGTAGCATCAACGCGCATAATCCAAGTTAAACTAAATTCCAAGAAGTCCGTACTATACTATTCCAAGAAGTCCCTACTAACTCTCATTACAAAGATCACAATCCTACCTACTAAAAGTAAGCATGTAAAGCACTAGAGGACAATGAACAAGCGACAACTAACTGCTTCATGTGAAGCCTCAATGTCTAATTACAGAGGAACAGTCAATGAAATTTTGGAGATGAATATGAATTGAAATTTACCCCATTGTTAGCATCTAGTTGATGCTCATCGTCGATATGGTGACACAATTCAACTAAATCATAATCATCTGAGCAAAATGGACATGGATAATCTACTGCCATATCATCATCATCTCCTTCAACATCTTCAAACTCAATACATGAACCTAAAAAAACAAAACCTTTATCAACACAACAAAAACCCATAAAAGTGACAAAATTTAAAACCTTAATGACCAAAAAAAATATAGAAATGAAGAAAACAATAAAAACCCTAACTTTAAGCTAAATCCAATTGGGAAAAAGAGGGGATTTTTGAAACTAACCAGACTGATACTTGACAAGTTCTTCTAATCGATATTTCTTGGAAGAATCAAACCCACAAATGCCCAATTCTTCCATCTGTATCTGAATACCAAAACAGAAAAACTGAATTGAGAACAATCTCAGATCACTTTTCTAATTAAATGAAA